GAAAATGTGCTGTTTAAATCCATTTTGTGTTTTTTTTCTTGAGTTTTCAGACTATAATAAAACATTTTTGTCAGTTTTTATAAATGTATATCTTGTGTCTCCATGGTAACTGCTGAACATTCCACCAAAAGACACACATTTAGGCCCCGTCCATACTAGTACGTATTCGAGTTGTTTTCGTTGCGGATGCAGTGTTCGTCCACACTGATTCGATTGAAAACGGCTCCAGAGAAGGAACGATCTGGTGCTGCCAGCTCCCACGAATTCATTTGAGTACGGATCTGATCCGGCACTGTGTGGACGCCTGAAAACGCTGATACGCTGATGTTGGTCTATGCATCGCAAAGTAATTCACCGCCAAAACACTAAGAGGCTAGAATATGTCGATTCATATATACTTTCTGGGCGTATGACCTGCAGATGTATAATCTCTGAAAAGTTTAACATGAATCCTCTCTAACGCGACAGAAGCACAGAACAGACTCACCATCAGCAGAACACCCACTGAGTTATGTCCTTTAGTCCGACAGAAGCTGAACCGCATCATCGTACAATAGCGAGCAGTTTTTTGAGCACTTAGTTTATGCAAATTTGTCACACGGTTTTAAGTTTAGTTTTTGTAAAAAGTAAACAAATATGTTCAAAGCTGTGTGGATAGGGAAAGCTTGCAGACACAGAAACGACGTGTGTGGACGCAGATCGTTTCCAATACGGTGATACAGTGATTCACGGATTTGTTTCAGTGTAAACGTAGGCTTAGAAGACCAACAGCATGAACACTGCAAAGTATCAATAAAAAAACTGTGTATATCAAAATTAGATTACTGGTCAATGTTTCTATGTACAGAAAAATTCAAAAAGAGCCATTCAAAATACTACAGAATCAACACTGTAATATAAATTTGGTATTTACATGGTGGCTTCCTGGTACAAGCTTTAACGTGTGTTTACAACAAGCACAAATTTAGTCTGGGGTTTCAAACTCAAAGGTCGGAGGAGGTCACAAAACCCTGACCTGGCAAAACAAGCAACTGACCACTTCACAGACAGGAAAGACAGACCAGAGAGACCAGAGAGACCCCGATAGCATGAGAAAATACCATGTAAAAATATAGTAATATAATAACAATAATAATCAAGTTCTGGATAAAACTGTAAGAAAATATTAAAGGTTCATTGTGTAACTTTTCTGGTGGAGGGTCTGTCAAACGCTTGTCTTCATGGAGATGTTATTGCTTTGTTTAGATTGTTCCATGGTAGAAATTAAACTCAATCTATCTCAAATCTTAAGGAAGACAACTATTACGGTATTTCTGAGCAATAGAAACACCCACAATCAAATGCTGGGTAGATGTGTTTAATGTCACACCATGGAACATTCCAGGCAAAGCAATAACATCTCCATGGATACAAGCAAGTGACCGGAAAAGTTGAGCAATGCACCTTTAATGATATTATCTATTCAAAAATGGTTTACAAGGATTGTCTACTCACTTTATTGTTATTGTGTCAGTCGCATAAAATATGGTAGACTCAATATTACAATTTATCGCAGTATCTCTGTAACCACACTCGTCGGCAGAAATTTGGGGGCCCGGGACAAGAAGCCTCACATGGGGCCCCTTTTAAAATAAACTAGGGTTTTTCCGATACACAATTTTTCAGGTACCTGTAGTGGAGAGTACTCAGACCAAATCACCTATCTGATACCACTGTGTATTTTCCTGAAGAGGACCCATAGATACGAGGCGCTGCTGACTTTGTTTACTCTGCATAATTAGCCATGTGCTCTGAGGATGAGCGTCTTTTTACAGGCCTCACTGTTGTTTTTATCGGCACTGCGATAAAAAGTGCTTAAATCAGCACTACTTCATCAAGATCACTGGCAAATGTTTACATTTTTATATAGCGCTTATCCACATTCAAGGCACTCTTTATAACAAGGAACCACCCACCTGTTCACACACACATTCACACACCAGTATACAAAGACACTGGGGGTGAGGTGGGTTAAATGTTTTGCCCAAGGACACAACAACAGCATTTATCAACCTTCGGCTCAGTGGACAAACGTTCTACCAACTGAGCTACTGCCATCCTATCATTATACATTTCACTAATGTTTTAGTCCTCAAAATCTTTTTATTTTTGTTTTACTTAAAAAATTTGCCTAGATGCTTTCATTTTGTGGAAACCGTCTGACCTCGCAGTGTTAGAATTCGTTCGCTCGACGGTAGGTGGGTAGTTTTTTCATTTAACCAATCGCTGCTATTTGGTCGTGACATATGTAATGCAACGCTGACGGGGCTATATGATATATTAAGCTTTTCCCAAATCCTGAAGGAAGAAGGGCAATAAAGGCTTTCTCCTTGATAAAATTCACCAAACATTCTCTTTGTTCCGGCTTTGAATCCTCGATCTTGGGAATCGTTGCCCACACAGAATGTATGGCTCTTTGCTGATTGGGTGGTGCCCGAACTCGCACTTCCGGGGTTTTTGAGAACCGTCTTGTATTCTGATTCCTGACCTTGTCACTGGAGAGAAATTAAACTGAGCGGAGACACTAGGAGGGGTCAGCCAGGGTATTAAAAAATAGCCCATTAGAAGATTAATTTTTTTGCTGTTGTATGTTAAAAAATAAAGTAGCCTAAGTGTACTTCTTCACACTATGTGGTATCGGACTGGTATACCAAGGCCAAGTATCTGGTATTGAACAACACTAATATAAACCAACAGGAGGAGAGTGCAATTCTGTGCAGGTCTTTGACAACAGACCCTTTTACCACCCGTCTACTGCTGTCTTTAGAAATATATTGTGCTTCCAAATGTTGTTATCGTGAGAGATTTTGTTGTGTTATCTGTTTGAACAGTATGGACACAAGTGTTCGACTCCCAGATATCACTGTATCTGCCCCCTCTCCTTTTATCTTAACCTGTGCGTGACCCCGGTAACCCCCTCCTGACCTCTTTGCACCACAGCGACTACAAAGAGGGGCAGTTAACTACAAATAGTAAGACATCCTGAATTTCCCCTTGGGGATCAATAAAGTACTATCCATCTGCCTTTCACAAGTTTGCCTTTAGCTGGGTACAACAAATCATACAGACAAAAACCTCAAGCTGCACTGTGTAACTTTTCGGTTGGGGGTCTGTCACCTGCTTGTTACTATGGACATTGCTCTGCCTGGAATGTTCCACAGTATGACTTTAAACAGCTCTACCTTACATTTATTCAATTACAGGTGGTTTTATAGCTCAAAAATGCCTACAAAAACATGTATTCTGACTGTGAGCGGGGTCACCTCTCCACAGATCTGACCTGTAACTTGGTCCGGTTTGGTCTCCGTGAAGATAGAAAAAGGTTTAATGCCATACTGCGCCAGACAAAGCAATAACATCTCCATGGAGACGAGCATTTGACAGGCCCTGCACCAGAAATGTCACACAATGCACCTTTAAAGCCGCAGTATGTAACTTTTTATCCAAAAACTTGACTAAAAGTAAAGCTTTTTAAATATTTTGGTTGTGTTAATTGTAGTAGACAAACTTAGAAAAGCAGGTTATGTTCATGCTTAGGGATGTAACGATATCCAAATCTCTCGGTATGATATTATCACGATATGCATCTCATTTTATGAAATTTATTGCGATATTTTGAAGAGGCTTATATAATTATAGACAGGACACTTTGTTGCTTTTAAAATACCTTGACAAGATTTTGGTGTGAATTATTTCCGTCATAATCCCAAGAATTCAAGTAAAAAACACATTTCTCTTCATGTTGTCTGCGCTGAAATGAATCATGGGATATGGAGTTCCCAATGTTTATAAGCTGATGCTGCTATAAAACCATGCATTTAAGCAAAGGAACTTGTGATTCGATATATTGTGACAGCCCACGATATTATTGTGAGACTTTTGACGATACGATATAACGATATTTCGATTATGTTATAATGTTGTCCTCATTAAAAACACACCTGGAGTTGAGTTTTGTTTCATTTTTAACACACAAATCCTGCATATTTACGTTTTTCTCTCAAACTGAAAACACTCTGCTCCACCTTGTGATGTCATGTAGTAATACAGGAAGTGCTCCATTGTGTTTTCAAGCTCCGTGCACTTTCACTAGAATCATTTGGATAATTTCATCCCTAGAATCTCTAAAAGAATGAGAACTTCGCACATCAATTACTAGAGACGGGTGCGTCGGAGGAGAGGGAGCAGCCCAAGAACATAGAGAAAAATCCCGCACACCATCTTACTTGCAAATTGTGAGATTTATTAGGACAAACCGTGCAACGTTTCAGCACTAGGTTTTCGTCAGGCAAACAGAATGAGAGCTCGGGTGGCCATCTTAAATAGGGTGTGGCAAGCACCCAAGGGTGACAAGTCATAAAGAAACAGTGCACTCAAAACCCCGTAATTCAAAAAACAAAGACAATCAACATACAGTGTAATTAATTTCTTGAATCTCTCTCAATCTCTACTGAACTAAAGGTAACTTGAAAACTACCACTTCATGACATCACCAGGTGGAAATGAGCATGATGATCTTTGGAGACATAGACAGATTAATAACGCAGGATTGCTCAGGCATGTGTGAATGAAACAAAGCACAACTCCAGGTACGTTTGATTAGATAACATTATAACATAACCAAAAAGAAATATTAAACAAGTTTTTAATGGAATAATTTTTTTATCTGATGTTGTTTTGTTCGTATAGCCACTGAAGCAGCAAGAATCAACTACTGAAGATCTTGAATCCTCACCTGCGGGGTGTTCACAGGCAAAGTCAATATTGAGTGTGGTATTACGTAAGGGTGTATTTATAAACCATAACATGTTAGGGCTGATGGGCAGGGGGTGCAGCCAGACAGGAGCTCCCGCTGTTTAAAGTGCATGGGCTCAACACGACAGATGTCCAACCAGCTGTGCAGAAGAGCCGTACACACACATATCCACAAAAACAGTCTCATCTAGAGTTTCGTACGGCACCTTGACAATGATGAGGGACGGGTAGAGGTCCATGCAGAGTTCAGGGTCCGGCTGTGCTTCAAAGATGTTGTTGTAGTTCTGAATGAGTCGGACCATGATTTTGTTGCATACGGTCTGCTCCTTCATCGCTTCGAAACCAGCAGTAACACTAAAAACAGAGAGAGAATAAAATACAATATTAAAAGATGCACTTCTGATGTAGGGTCTACCGCCTGCTTGTCTCTAGAGATGTAACAAAAAACGAAATATCGTGATATCGTAGCGTCAGAAGTCTCACAATAATATCGGAGGCCATCGCAATATATCGAATTACAAGTGTCGGCAACTTCTTAATGATACCCAGCCCTAGCTTTAATGTCACACTATTGAACATTCCAGGCAAAGCAATAACATTTCCATCGTCTAAATAAAGAATGTTTTTAATTATCTCTTTAGTATCAGAATCAGTATTGAGTATCGAGTCTATTCCTTAATATTGACATTTAATTTCAAATTTTAGTACCGTGACAACACTACAAACAAATACATCAAAACACACAAAATCAGCCCGTGCCTATTGACAGTACAGAGTATTTTGATATGTTGTTTTCTATAAAGGATGTTCAGAACACTCTAGTTATGGAGATGCCCACCCACAGTCAGTCTGGTCAATACTCAGCGTGCAGACAGTGCATACGTGTGCGGAGAGGAGAGACGGGCTGATGAAATAAGTGCAAATTCAAAACGAAACACAGTGTTCTTATTTCAAAGCCTGCAAAAAAACATCACTGTTTCTTAAAGGTCTTATATTACGCAAAACTGACACTTGTGAGCTTTAAGTCATGTTATAATGCTGTTACCTCATCAAAAACAGACCTGGAGTTGTGTTTTTGTTCCTTTATTATGAGTCTGTCTGTCCTTGTGATGTCACGAAGCTGCAGTTTTCAAGTAAACAGCTCCTTTTACCTTTAGTTCAATAACAGGGTATCCCCAGGTTTGACTACCCCATATTTAAGACTTTTTAAAGACCTTTTTAAGACCACGTAAATGAAAATTAAGACCAACATCGCACTCATCAAGCAGGAGAAAAACACCAGATCCAATTCTAATAATGACCATTACTCACTGCTTTAAAAAACAAAAAATACTGTTATTATAAAATCTCATTCAGAACTCATTTAGTCGTGTGCATTGCTTGTAAAATGGCCAACAAAAATCATTTATAACATTCGAACAAGACAAAGTAACCTTTCACACTGTCTTCTCTCACACTGACTTTCAAGTGCTTCAACAATTCGACATTTTCAACAACAAACTGCTGTCCACTGTACTGACTATTTACTCACTGACGCGGGCACCAGAAACCAAAGTATTATTTGCGCATACTAAAAATTAAACATTCATTCATGTTACATGATTTCACACTTTTTTTTTTCTTCCCTCCATTTTACTGCAGCCCGGTTGAGTAAACAAAAAAAAGGCTAATGAAATTTAAGACCTTTATGAAAAAAATAAGACTTGGACAACATAGTTTAAGACTTTTTAAGGTCTTAATTTAGGAACATGAAATTTAAGACTTTTTTAAGACTTTTAAGACCTCATGGCTGCCCTGAATAGACAATGGCAATTCCAGGGCTGAAATTATCCAAATGATTCTAGAGAAGGTGTATGGAGTTTAAAAACACAGTGGAGCACTTCCTGTATTACCACATGACATCATAAAGTGGAACAGAGTGGTTTTAGTTTGACAGGGTTTGTGTTTTAAACATGTGTGAATGAAACTAAACACAACTCCGGGTCTGTTTTTCATGAGGAAACAACATCATATACTACTGTAGATCAGAAAATAGTGTAACATAGACACTAAATTAATATTATAGTGCATTATTTTAATTTGTTTTGCCCAAATATATAATATTTTTTATTTTAACTGCTTCATTGCTGTAACCACGGAGGACGGCTGCCATAATTTGAAACCCATGAATTGGAACAAAAACAAATTACAAAATAAGATGAACAAATAAAAAACAAGATTCAAACTGTCACTGTTAATTGTTAATGTTTAAATTGCAACAAATTAATAAAGAGAAAACAAATGGGATGTGTTTATAGCTTGTATTATGTAATATATGAACTCCTTAAAAACATCCTTCTGTCCATTCTGTGTGCATCAGTCTTTCTAGGTTTTTTCTAGAGATTAGAGCACCCCCTGGTGGCTAAAGGAGAAATTCGGTGAAAGTGGATGAAAAAGAAATTGATGTTTGTTAGCGTTGTACAGCAATCTAATTACAATAAAATCCAGATCAAAACATCATCTAAAACAACTTAATAAAAGGAAAAACGACAGGTGATTGTGCCCAATAGGAGCTGACGTCGTAGTAAACGTCATCGCAATAAAGAGTCAGTGATTCCAAATTCCAACAGCAATAGATCACGCTGTTGTTTCTTTTTTTATATGCCCAAAAAGGAAAATGAAATTGCTCAAACATGCACAAATCCTGTCCAATACAACTTCAAGAGGGTAAAAAAGGAGAAACAGTTATAATTTGGTTAAAGTTCTAACCAAATGTAAAATTGCAATAACAGGGTATCTCCAGGTTTGACTCCCCCAAATTTAAGACTTTTTAACACCACTTAAATGAAAATCAAGACCAACATTGCACCCATTATCCAGGCCAAAAATATCAGATCAAATTCGAATAATGACCAAACAACTACCAGTGTGAGATAGTATTTTGACCCCCATAGTATACTGACCCCGGGGTGAACATACCACTATAGTAAAGTGACCCCCCTATAGTATTTTGACTCCCCTTATTTTTTTCTTTAGTAGTTACGTATATGATCATTATTTCTCTTGTGATTTACTTTTATTATATATTCCTACATATTCACGGAATGTTTTGAAGGATAACGACTTGGTATTTTGTGTAAATGTAACGTATTGTTAAAATTGCATATACATAACAATCTTGTCACTTTTTATATTGTATTTTACATTGTTATGGTTTTTAGTTTGCTATGTTCAGATAATCCTTAATCATAATGGCAATTTAGGCAATGTAAGGATAATGACCCTGAATTTAGTAATGTTGTGTTATAATAAACATATTGGGGGGGTCATAGTCATAGTCATAGGTTTTTGACCTTTTTTATATATAATTGATCATTGCCAATATTCAACTAACATTACTTCTTACTTTACATCATAATAACTATAATAAACATATTGGGGGGTCAAATTACTATAGCCATAGGTATTCTCTATTTAACTACTCAATTGATCAGCCCTGTCTATTTTAATAAGATTCCAAATCATTATACATCACTTTGATTACCTAACTAATTATTAACTACTTATCTAATTTTCAGTAAAATACATGTTTAAACAACTACCGTAAGTAATTTTTAACATTCAAAAGTTATAATGAACATAAAAAAAATGCATCGGAGTTCTTCAAAAAACACTTTTAATATGTCAATATGTTTTAATTTGCAGATATCGTATTAATATTCAAAGTTTTTCTATAGAATTCAAGTTCATTGTTAATAAAATATAGATTTTCATAGGGGGGTCAATATTCAAAATACTATATGGTATGTTGACCCCGGGGTCAAAATCTATACCACACCGGCACAATATCTAGAATCTAAGAGTCACTGTGGATTAAACCGACACTTCCCTATGATCCATTCAACTTTTCCTCCACTGTACCGATGGTTTACTCATTTCCGCCGGCGCCAGAAACCAAAGAATTGTTTGCGTATACTCCAAATTAGACGTTCATTCACTAGCTAGGACCACACCAACAACGACATAGTGCGAAGAAGTTTATTGATAATGTACGAAGCGAGGCAGAGATGGCTGGGTTGAGACTCTAGGTGGGGTCTCCGTCTCAATCTTCAATTGGCCCGGCCAGAACGGGAACCTGCTTGAAGGGGTCTTATGACTGAAAGACGAATAAAATAGGGGGTGGGAGGGTGGGGTCGAGTTCGCCGAGACAAACTGGGATGATGGGAAAGGCTGCTACCATATAGGCTTCTGGGAAATTAGAGGCGTGGTCGAGGTGAGCTGTGGTTCGCTGGTGAGAGGAGAGGACGGCTGAGGCGTGGTCCTGCTCCTGAATCTCAGTTAATCATATTAACTACATTTCATGTTAAGTGATTTCACGTTGTTGTTTTTTTTTCCTCCCTCCTTTTAACATTTCACTACAACCCGGGTGAGTATACAAAAAATAGGCTAATGAAATTTAAGACATTTGTGAAAAAATAAGGCTTGGACAACATAATTTAAGGCCTTAATTCAGGAACATAAATTTGAAGACCTTTTTAAGACCCCGCAGCTACCTTCTATCAATACAGAGCCAAAAAAAACAACAACATGATTCATCCTTTTGCCACGTTGCCTGATCTTAACATAACCTGTAGCGGACTAAACCCTCAAGGGCAAAGGGGCCCCGGGTTCAACTGGACTCACATTTTTAGTGCATACTGTACAGCGTGTTTCAGTAATGATATCATGACACAGTCTGGGTCCTGACAGGAGGCCAGAGTTTAATATCAGATTCAGGGCACGGAAATAGGGGCCCCGCATCAGCAGTAGTACGTCCGAGCGGCTACAACCAGATGAAGCCAGTTGAGTAACACTGTGTATGGATTATGAAGGCAAAGGGTGTGGGAGCCAATTCTGTTAAAGTTCATGATCATTTAAAGGTCCCATATTACACATAATTGCCTCTTGTGAGCTTTAAGTCACGTTATAACCTCATCACAGACATGGACCTGGAGTTGTGTTTTTGTTTCATTCACACACATTTGAGTAACACTTTAAAATTAGTCTGTCTACATTTCCAAAGCTCAAAAGTCTCTTCTCTACGTTGTGATGTTATGAAGCAGAAGTTTGCAAGTTAAGAGCTGCTGTTAACCTTTAGTTCAGTAGAGATTGGCAATTCCAGGGTCGAAATTATCCAAATGATTCTAGTGAAGGTGTATAGAGTTTAAAATATGCAGGGTTTGTGTGTTAAACATAACTCTAGGTATGTTTGTGATGAGGAAACAACATTATAACAGATCAGAAAATAGCCTAATATGGGCCCTTTAAAAGAAAGAACCAGATCTTTTCTGTGCAGGGTGGGAATGTTTGTGTAATAAAATAGACTGAGGACCATATCAAGTAAAAATATCTGCTTTTACAGATACTAACAGTAACATTTATTTTTCCTAATTACAAAAACATTGGGCAAGAGTCGATGTTTCATTTACTGTTTTGGTTCTCAAGCTTTTTCTCCAGGCAGAAAGAAGAATGAGCCTCACTAACCTGAAAGGATCTATGATTAATACTTTGCAGCTCATGTCCCTGGGGGTGTGACGCTAACTGGAGGCACTGCTCTGTCAGAAGCTCTATTAGATTTTGATCTGAGCTTTATTTTAACACAATTTGACCAAAAGAGCTGATTTAGCTGAAGTTACAACAGCATTTTTTCAGTTACTTCCTCTCACCTCTTTCTTGAAAATCTAACTCCTAAACAGAACCATGAACCCAGGTTCCCACTCTTTTTCACTGATAAATTTTTCAAAACCTTTCCATGACTTTTTCATGACCTAAAGTGAATTTTCCATGACTTTACAGCACCTACATGTGTAGAACTGATCAAACTTTTAGGGCTAAATATGAAATGTTAACCCTTTACACTCACCTTATGGTTTGGTATTATAGTTTTCTAACATTCAAAATACTGTCAGTGCATTTATTGTCGTCTCTTTTAAAGAAAATGCGCAAACGTTCAGACGTTCATCATAATAGTCTAATGATAATTCAACAGAATGTTTTAGTTGCGTAAAAGAGATACTAAAATTTCATGACTTTTGCAAAACTTTCATTGAATTCAAAATTCCATTACTTTTTCCAGCCTGGAAAATGACATGATCAATTTCCATAACTTTTCCAGGATTTCCATGACCGTGGGAACCCTATACCAAAAACTTACTAAGTTTCAAATGAAATACTCTATTTGAGTCCTTCTCATAGGAAATAACAATCCAAACTTAAATTATCCACCTGCAGCGAACCAAAAATGCAGACTGCTTCTGCTTCTGTGTTCCGTCACCATTTTATCGCTTGTAAACCAGTCCTACCAGTGTAGAATTGATCAGACTTTTAGGGCTAAATATGAAATGTTAACTCTTTCCACTCACCTTATGGTTTGGTTTTATAGTTTTTTAACATTCAAAATACTGTCAGTGCATTTATTATCGTCTCTTTTAAACAAGACGTGCAGACGTTCAGAAATAATCAAAATAGGAGGAGCTGTTAAGTTATCATTAGGCTAGGTTAGGCTAGATTATCATCCCCCCCCCAGATTATCATCCCCCCCCCAGAGGAGCTGGAGGACATGTCTGGGGTGAGGGAAGTCTGGGAGTCCCTGCTTAGACTGCTGCCCCCGCGACCCGACCCAGGATAAGTGGAAGAAAATGGATGGATTGATAACTTAACAGAACGCTGTAGTTGCATGAAAGAGATGGCCTGGAAAATGACATTTTCAATTTCCATTAGTTTTCCAGGATTTCCATGACCGTGGGAACCCTGATGAACACTCATATTAATCACAAGCTCCAGATAATGTGTTGTTTAAACCCATCTTGCATTTTTTCTTTGAGTTTTCAGACAATTTTAAACTTTTTGCCAGTGTATGTGAATGTGTGAATAGCGTTTCTATTGTATCTGCTGAACATTCCACCATAGAGATACATGTAGAACACCCCCAGCGTGATGTCACTGCAACGCATCAACTGCCCAGCCCTAGATTGTAGTTACTTATTTTATACCAGCGTTAGTAGGAAATGTTTATGTTCTACTCACTGGAAGATGCTCGGTCCAAACACTGTGGCCAGGTTGTGAGCGTTCATGCGGTTTTCTTTGTGTTTGAGCTCCACCTGAGTCAGGAAGTGGCACAGGTATCGGAGGAGACTCAGGTGAACGTCCGGAAGACTCAGGAGCAGCTCTCTTATGTCTGAACAAGAGCCACCGTCTCCAAAATCTATGGACACAAACAAGATCAGTGATTTTATACAATTATACGAGATTAGGGTTGTCAAAAATCAGATACTAATTGATAGTAAAACGAAGTGAAAAATAGGTACTCAATTTAATCAGTATCAATAAAAATAGTACATTTCTTTAACAGAGTAATCTTAATTTTTATCAACACCAGTGGAGCTCAACAGTAGGCATATCGTATCCTTTAATGTGATGATACAGTATCGATATCGTGGGCTGCTGTATCGATATATAACGGCAACAGGAATGTAACGATATCCAAATGTCACAGTATGATATTTATCGAGATATTTGGAAGTAGGCTAATATAAGTGTAGATGGGACACTTTTTTGGTTTTAAAATACCTTGACAAGTTTTTCGTGTGAATTATTTCCATCATAATCCCAAGAATTCAAGTAAAAATATAACTGTTCATGTTGTCTGCACTGAAATGAATCATGGGATATGTAGTTCCCAATGTTTATATATGACGTTGCTTCTATAAAACCATGCATTTAAGCAAAGAAAATTGTGATTCGATCTATATTGTGACAGCCCATGATATTATTGTGAGACTTTTGACGATACGATATCACAATATTTCGGTTATTGTTACATCCCTAATCGCAAAGAGTATTTTTTGGTATATTTTACCAAATTATTTTGTTACAGAGCTGCAGTTTTGTTGTTTGTTTAGAGGAAGGAAACTCATTTATGCGACACATTTGACATTTTCACTGTTTTGATGATTAAAATGTTTGCGTTTCATATGAACTTTGCACAAGAACAGGTTTAACAAAGACTTTTACATGATTTAGCCTTTATTTTTTTATTGAACCGTATCAAATCGATTTGAAATATATTGTATCGAATCAAAAGTGCACTGTATCGAGATATGAATCGTATCGTGGCCTACGTATCGAGGTATGTATCGTATCGGCAACTTCTTAATGATCCCCAACCCTACTCAACAGTGACCACCCACCCCCTGGTACCGAGAAGTAAATTTCTCATTAATTTTTCTCATAAACTTTAAAAAAAAAACTGTTAGAAAGCGATGACATAATCAGCTTTGTGTTGACTAATGACCTCAAGACCTATAAATTTACATAAAATCTGTTTCTGAGACTTTATAAACCAACGTAAAGCATTTAAATGAATCAATCGCTGAATTTTAAACTTAAAACAACCGCGTCAAGGTATTAGTCAGCACGTAAATGGTTAGTCTTTCAAAATTTTCAAAAAGTCTATGGGAAACATAAATGGAAAATTGATGGTTGAGCTCCATAAAACCACACAGTAACTTAAAAAAAAACCCTATTTTTTTGAGCTGAAATTACATCCTATTGCCCAAGTGTTTTTTTGTCCATCGTTGTGAAATCAAAATCGATATCGAGCCTTTTTTTAGTATCAAAATAAGAGTTTGAAATTCTAGTATTGTGATGACACTACTATAGATAGAAAAGCACACAACAGCTGCACTGGTCAGAACATTTTATCCCCAAACGCGGCCCACATGGAGCCAGTGGAAGTGAATGTGACAAATGACACAATCGACTTTGGTAACGCTACTTATCATGTAATATCTAATCTCGGTTATAACAGGCACCTGTAAGACTTCGCATTAGAGCAGAGCCTGAGAAATATGTTGATACTATTACTCCTGATACAGAAATGGGTCAGACTTTGATCCGATTTAATATAAACTGACTCTGTGACGCAAATGTGTGATTGAACTGGGGTCTTACTCCTTAAAAAATGAATTTAATTAGTAAGTAGGCAATGATTTGTTTAATTAGAAATCTCAGTGCAGGCGTGACAAGAAGCTAACTGTGAACAAATTAAACTAAAGGTTCTATATTACGCAACTATGACTCTTGAGCTTTAAACCTTATTATAATGTTGTTTTCTCATCAAAAACAGACCTGGAGTTGTGTTTTGTTTCATTCACACATGTATGAGGATGTGACCTTGCATTATTATTAGTCACAGACAGACTAATGTCAAAATGTTCCTTTCCACCTTCTGATGTCATGAAGCAGTAGTTTTCAACTTAACAATTACCTTTTATTTTTTTGTCTAGAAGAATGTGGCAATTCTAGGGTCAGGGATGACCTAAAGTGAATTTTCAATTACTTAATTGCACCCTACATGTGTATTATTGATCATACTTTTAAGGCTAAATATGAAACGTTAACTCTTTCCACTCACCTTATGGATTTATAGTTTTTTAACGTTCAAAAGGAATGATCTTGGAGGTCCTGTTGGTGCATCACTCGTGGTCATACGTGGTCTCGTATTTATTTTGTTCTATTGTGGTGTTTATGTGGTGCTTTGTGTTGTCCTGTTTTTTGGATAAAGCATGTGATCCCCTGTCCCAAGACAAATTTCTCCCATAAATAAAGGATTATCTTATCTTAAAATACTGTCAGTGTATTTATTGTCATCTCTTTTAAACACAAGGTGCATACGTTCGGAAATAATCGTAATAGCCTAATGAGAACTTAACAGAACGCTGTAGTTGAGTGAACAAGATACGAAAATTCCATAACTTTTCCAAAAACTTGCATTGAATTTACAAAATTCCATGACTTCTCCAGGATTTCCATGTGTGTGGGAACTGTGTAGGGCTGAAATGATTCTAGTGAAGGTGTATGGAGTCTAACATAGTGGAGCACTTCCTGTATTACCACATGACATCATAAAGTGGAGCTGAGTATTTTCTGTTTGAGAGAAGAACTCAACCTAAATATGCAGGATTTGTGTGTTAAACATGTGTGAATGAAGCAAAACACAACTCCAGGTCTGTAATGTCAAACTATCAATATATCGTATAATTTAATGTGATGATATGGTATCGATATCGGGGACTACTGTATCGATATATCGTCAAGAGTAATTTTTGGTATATTTAACTAAATTATTTTGTTACAGCGCTACAGTTTTGTTGCTTGTTTAGTGGAAGGAAACTAATTTATGCGACACATTTGACATTTTCACTGTTTTGATGATTAAAATGTTTGTGTTTCATATGAACTTTGCATAAGAAGTGGCTTAACAAAGACTTTTAGTATCACGGCCATGATATATCTTTAATTTCACTGAACTGTATCGAATCAATTTGAAATATATCGTATCGAATCTAAAGTGCACTGTATCAACATATGTATCGTATTGTGGCCTATGTATCAAGGTAAGTATCGTATCGGCAACTTCTTAACGATATCCAGCCCTACTTATAACATAGGTCAGAAAACACAGTAATATGGGCCCTTTAAGTTGTATCGTATTCAATTAAATTAAATTGCAAAACACAGCCGCTCGCCTTTAAGTGGATCACATAAATCTGACCACATTTCCCCCGTCCTTCAGTCTCTTCACTGGCTCCCTGTGCACGTTCACACTGATTTTAAACATCTTTTACTTGTTTTTAAATGTCTTCATGGTATCTGTCTGACCTTCTTGTCCCTCACACCTCGTCTCGTGCTCTCAGATCCGCAGATCAGACTCTTCTCCGTGTCCCAAAGACCAGGAGAAAACAGAGAGGAGATGATGCTTTTGCAGTGTACATTAAGCTGTCCCTCCTAAAAACTCACTTTTTCTCCCTTGGCTTTTAACTCAGTTTAATGTTTGACTTTTTAACTGTACTTGTATCATATTATATTTACCTGCACTGTCACTGTATTTGTCACTGTTTGTCATGTGTTTTGTGTACAGCACTTTGGTCGACTGCGCTGATTTTAAAGTGCTCTTGACATAAAGTTGAGGGTTTCTTTTAAGTTTCAAATTGTCAGTGAAAGTTTAAAATACCATTACAGAGATGCAGCAGCCTTGTAATTATAATGACCAAAAAAAAAAGAATGAAAATCTATAAACTGTGGATGTAGTGAGGCCAGATAAACATCAGCCAATAGATAACAAGGCTACCTCATTTTCTATTGGCTGTTAACAAAAGAAAGTCCATTTTTGAGGTCGCTGAAAGAAGAAGAGAAGGGGAAAAGGAGCGAAGACAAACTGAGGTGATTCTTGGAGAGTCCTTTCAGTGATTGCGTGAATCAAGCAGACGAAGGGTCTAAAACCTGACGTGTTGGTCGCTAAATTATTTCTAGACAGGTCACTTCAACAGTAATTATGAACGCGCACTGGCTGTAAACAAGTGTGATTTCTAGAGTAAGGAGGCGGGAGGAACCGAGGCTTGTACAGAGTAAATAAAAGGGGGCATGTCGAGTGAAGCCCCGATTTGAGGCTTGCGTCAGATTGGCAAAAATCACGTGACCTGTGAATGTGAGGCCTCGCTTTCGTCATTATTTCATTTACTGTATTACGTGCACATGCACACTTCATAGACTACTGCTTTTTTTATTCACTTTCACTTTATCCTAACTTTCACATGCTAAAAGAAGCTTTTTTATTTACAGAGTATCTTGGTTTTACTACCAGAATATGGCCGTGTAACCTACGTATATTCTTGTATTAGTTTTTTTTCACTGAATATGATGTACAGTCAGTTCAACATTCTTTCAGCTCAAAAATTATATTTGTGTTATTTAAGCACATTTCATGGATCATGTCCACTGCTGAAGTGGTTCAGAGAGTGGATCAGAAGAAGCAAGATCGGCACTGGGACAGTTTATAGTCGTGTTGATTGTCTGTCTGTCTGTGTCTCTGTCTCTCTCTCTGAGGTGTTTGTGTGTTTGATGTGGATATTGCTTAAAATAAATACTTGATGCAAAAGAAGATGAGAGAATTGAGTATCTTTTGCTTTTGATAAATGCAACCACTGAGTGTGATGTTTTAAATGAAACATGATTCCATTTGGTTTTTCTTTTTACATGTGTTACATTTTTTTGTCCACAAGATGGTGTAGTTGAATATATTGAATCACTTGGCGAGGCATTGACGCCTGTACCGGTACAACTGCCTGAAAGCCTCAGATGGTTCACGGGGCTTCATTTGGCCATCACTACTGTATTTCTCTTCCTTTAAAAAATCCTCTATACAACTTTTGAGTATTGTTATTAGCGGACATCTGAAGTGTGTAACTCACCCTGGTAGTGCTGTAGTAGAGCCTGTTGAACCGTGGGGCTTATGAGGGCCTGGGGCAGCTCTCTGAGGTACAGCTTTAGGAGACTGGCCACAGTAGAAACATCAGACTCCGACACGAGGTCCACGTCCTCCGCACACTCCAGCCGCTCCTTCAGGCTCTGCACCGCCCGCGCGTTCCCGTTTACGCGGAACAACCCCTCCTGGTTCAGTCCTACAAGAGGAGAAACATCTGTTAGGCCCACTAGACAACATGAGGTGAGAAAAGTCATATATTGGTGACAAAAATGTAATTATGAGCTGACATGTTGCAAGTGACACTAAGTTATCCATGGAGTTTAATAGAGGGTGACCAGAATTTCAAAATCAAAAACTGGGACGCTCTTGGTTTATGGTGGTTGGTAATGATAAAATTGTGAACTGTGTGTGTAATTAAGGAACATTTTTATGCATTCGGCCCATTTATGACTAACATGTGAGTCAGTACAGTCATATTTTCTTTGTTTTGGCCATTTTTAAGCAGCTTTTCTATATTTTACCAAAACAAATGGTTAAAAATAGGGACACCTGGAACATTTCTTGTATAAAACCAGGATGAATCAATGATTTTGAATAAATCTGCTGGGACAGGGGACACAGGGCTCAAAACTGGAACTGTCCTGGGTAAACAGGGACGTCTGGTCACCCTAGACATGTAGCAATTGACACCAAGTTGCCCATGTAGTTTGATACGTGCCAAAATGCGCAGTGCCTAGAACTTAGAAGTGGGTAGTTCTCAGTTACATTTACTTTAATAACTTTTAAAATAAATTGTACTTTTCCGCGTTCTCTTCTAGCAGCATAATTTTACTCCTGCTTGAGCGACATTTTTATTGAAAGAACCGAAAAACTGATTGTTAATGATAGTTTGTGTCTGTAATAAAAGTTAAGAGGGACTTGTTTAACAGTAGAAAATCATAAAGGAATAAAGGAAACATCTATTAGGCCTACAACTCGACAACATGAGGCAAGAAAGGTCAAACATGTGTGACAAAAAAAAAAAAAAGTCATTATGTGTTGGTGAACTGCAATTGGCACCAAGTTATCCATGGTGTTTAAAAGGTGCCACATCGCGCAGCGTCATGTGAAGCATATGTACACGTGTAAATGGGTGACCACACGTGCCTATTTACCCGGGACAGTCCCAGTTTTGAGCCCTGTGTCCCTTGTCCCTGCAGAATTACCCCAAACCACTGATTTGGCCAAGTATTATACAAGAAATGTGCCAAGTGTCCCTATTTTTGAACAATCTGATCCCTGCCAACAGTAAAAAAAGGTAAGATATTGTTATTTGTTTAGCTAAAATACAGAAAACCATGCTTCAAAATGACCATTAGGTAAAAAAGTGAACTATTGCACCGATATTAGTCCCTATATTATCTATACAAACCAGTGTATCCCAGTTTTTAATCGAGAAACGCTGATTACACTGATTGACTGTAGTTATCATAAAAATCCACTGTCTGAACTTTAATGCATATGATCTGCAATATCAAACTAACTCGCAAACATAATGGCTCATTTTTAGCAAACTAGCAAAGATATATTAGGCTACAGATCGCTTTATTATGCCAATTTTACCCGTTACCTCTTTTGTTAGTGTGTTGTTCCTGAAGTTACAATACAGGATTACATTAAAAGTAAAAGTTAACCTGGCTGTTTGCTTTAAAAACACCTGGATGATAAGATTAGCTAAGATTACGCAATTTTCCACGTGTTGTAAAAGTGTCGCCATGTGCCTGGATTTCCTTTGCAACACTGACATCTAGTGGACGAACACGGAACTGCAGTCTTCTTCTTCTAGTGGAGTTTTATTGCGGGTTGGCAAATAACTAATGGTGCTTTACCGCCACCAGCTGATGAGGAGTGTGAACTGAAATGCGACTTAATAATAACAAATAAAAAAAAAATCCCGAGAAAAGACATTATGTCACACACATATAACATATAATTCCAATGGGATGAGGAATATTAATAAACCTAGTAAACTGCATAAATAAACAAACATAAATACATAAATGAAAAATAAATAAAGTCAGTCAATCAACAAATAAAAACAGTAATAAGTCAATAAAAAATTTAATCAAAGTCAAATTTGGCAAAAACAAGGACTTCCTTGTTTTTGACTTCTCATGCACCCAAATCTCTCCTTTTTTTAAATGCACCACACAAAGTTAGGCACACATACATAATGTATCCTGTCTAATGTCTGCGTCCATGTTTATGTTGCAAATAAAATAAAATAAAAATATAAAATAAAAATTAAATAAAATAATAATACTACTAATAACAACAGTCACTATTAACTACTAACAAAACACAGTTCCACGTCTATAGTCCAATGAGGTTCATTTGGTCTTCCGATAATTTGTGTTATTAGTTTCTTTTTTCAGACCAAGAGTTTGTTTTCATACTTGACAGCTGTGACATGTCTGGTCAGATGATTTAAACAGGTTTTGGCGCTGTCTTCCTACCGGTGGAGGCAGGACAACAGCACCATCTGCAGTCCAACTTCCTCAGGACAGTATCCCAGGTGTGTGAGAGTAAAAAAGCCTCCTCGTCCCGGTTTATCGTCCTGTGGGCACGTTTCCATATTTCGATTGCCTCTTTAATCCAGTGACGATGTTTGTTGCCCTCTGGGACCTGGGATACTGTCCTGAGGAAGTCGGACTGCAGATGGCACGGTAGGAAGACAGCGCCAAAACCTGTATAAATCATCTGACCGGACACGTCACAGCAACATTATGTGATCACTCTGAGGAAGACCACAGGGAGCAGTCGAAACTGTCAGGTATGAAAACAAACTCTTGGTCTGAAAAAAGAACCGACAGCTCCAGGTCTGTTTTTGAAGAGGTAACAACATTATAACATGACTTAAAGCTCACAGTCAATTTTGCACAACATAACACCTGAATAGTTGTACTTTTAAAAACTCACTTTGATAGACACAAGTACAATCAGAAAAACTTCATAGGCTCTAAATGTTTTGTTTTTACTAATGCTAGATCTGGAATAAAATATGAAACAGCTCAACTGCCCTTTTGAACAAGTTTAAATATAACATTATGCTCAAACAGTATAATTTATTTTCAGTTTTCTTTTCTCTCACCATGACTGCGAAGATGCTCCACCATCCTCCTCACCACCAGGGGGAGCCCGTCCTTCAGCAGGCCTCGCTCTTGCAGCTCGCTCAGAGACTTCCCGAACACTCCGGCCTGCGTGTTCGCCGTGCCCCTGGGTTTAAGGACGGGGATCTGAACCATCTTCAGCATGTCCTCTCTCACCTTCACCGCCGCCTTACTGTGCTGTGGAAAACACACACACACAGATCAGCATCTCCTGCACGTCCCCGGGGTCACTGTGATCCCACGTCCCAGGTCACTTCCACACTGGGCCCATCCCATTTCTCTTTCCTCGCTTCCTTCTCCTCTATCCTCCATTTTTCAGCTGTCAATCAAATGCTCCTTCTTAAGCCTTGTCCCAAAGCTCAGAGGAGACAGAAGAAACTACACAAGTACAGGGACAACATGTTACATAATCCTTAATTTGATTTTAAAACGGATTAAAAACAATATTAAAATGCATTCAATTTAAAACAGAGACATTGGTCGGACTTTTATTTAAAAGTCCTGAGATAATATAAAATAATTCTTAGTATTGTTCTCTTTATAGAGTCATTTTGGTCAGAACCAATGCCTCCTCCTGTCTCTCTCTTTGTCCTCTCCTCCTCTGCCTTGCTCTCTTCTCTCCTCTCCTCCTCTGTCCTCTCCTCCTTTGCTCCTCTCTTCTCTCCTCCCTCTCTCCTCTCCTCTGCTCTCTTCTCCTCCCCTCTTCTGCTCCTTTCCTCTCTTCTCTTTTTCTCTGTTCTGCTCTCTGCTCCTCTCTTTCTCCTCTCCTCCTCCCCTCTCGCCTTTCTTTTTTCTCTTATTTCCTCTCCTCTACTCTCTCCTCCTCTCCTCTTCTGCTCCTTTCCTCTCTACTCTCTTCTCTTTTTCTCTGTTCTTCTCTCTGCTCCTCTCTTTCTCCTCTCCTCCTCTCTTCACTGCTCCTCTCTCTCCTTTCCTCCTCTTCTCCTCTCCTCCTCTGCTCCTCTCTCTCTTCTTCTCCTCGGCTCCTCTCTCTCCTCTCCTCCCTCTCTCTGCTGCTCCTCTCCTCTCCTCCTCTCCTGCTCTCTCTCCTCTCTGCTCGTCTCTCTCTTCTCTGCTCCTCTCCTTCTCTCTCTTCTCTCTACTCCTCTTTCTCTCCTCTCCTCCTCTGCTTGTCTCTCTCTCCTCTCCTCTGCTCCTCTCTCTCCTCTCCTCCTCTGCTCTTCTGCTCCTTTTCTCTCTCCTAGTCTGCTCCTCTCTCTCCTCTCTTCTTTCTCCTCTCTCCTCTGTACTCGCTCTTCTCCTCTCTCTCCTCCTCTCCTCTTTCCTCTCCTCCTCTCTCCTCTGCGGCTTGAACTTCCTCACCCATTTCCTGCAGAATCGAGGAGAGGACTCAAGGAGAAGGAGGCGAGGAAAGAGAAATAAGACGCTCGTCGGTTCCTAAAGTCGAAATCGGAGTGTGTGACGTGTCGCAGGAGTCCATCGTTCACACGTCCTGCAGCCACAAACACGCCGAGGACGGACAGACGCCAAGGACGGAGAGAGAGAGAGCGAGGAGCTAAAAGGAGCAGAGTGGAGAGCTGCATTGTTGCTACGACAAATATCTGGTTTCCATGCAACACCTGCGGGCGACGGCTCAGTGGAGAGGCTTATCTACCTGTGCAAAGAAACACCGACAGAGTTTGTTTTACTAAAAGCTCAACTGGGCAAAAAATCTATTAATTGTGAAAAGGCTGTATTACAAACTCCCATGAAACGCAAAAATGAACCTTGTGAACTTTAAAGTCATGTTATAATGTTTTTACCTCCTCAAAAACAGACCTGGAGTTGTGTTTTTTCATTTACACATATTTGAGTAACCTTTTATTTTTACACTGTCTACATCTCCAAAGCTTAAAATGCTTTGTTTTACCTTGCGATGTCACAAAGTGGTAGTTTTCACATCCAAATCCACTTCATTTCTTTAGGACATTTTACAAACAAAGCCAAAGTGAAGCACAGAGATCATAAAATAAAGACAACAAAAAGGTAAATTGCTCAAATTTAGCCCTAAAACAATAAAACGAGTAAAATCAAATAAAAGCAAAACCAAAAAAATAATAAAATAGCAATATATAAGTAAAATAAATAAAAGATACAGAGGACCACAAGACTCACGTGGTGTTAAAAGACAGAGTTAATAAAAAGTGGGTTTTAAGACGTTTTTAAGCTGCTTTTAACCGTTTATTCAGTAGAAATTGGCAATTCCAAGGCTGAAATTATCTAAATGCTTCTAGTTTTTTTTTTGTTGTTTTTTTTCTTTTTATGTTGAGAGCTGGATTCGAACCGCCAACCTTCAGATCAGTGGGTGAATGCTCTACCAACTGAGCTACTGCCGCCCGCTTCTTCTGTTCTTTCTTACAAAGCATCACAAACAAAGCAATGTGTTCTGCTCCATCCGGTGTAGTGAAGACTGCAGTGAACGCTACATTCGAGAAACAGAACAGTCACTTCACAAGAGGATGAACCAGCACAGACGAGAGAGCAACAGTGGACCTCAGTCTGCTGTACATCTCCATCTAAAAGCTTCGGGACACTCCTTTCATGACAGTGAGGTACAGGTTTTAGCCAGAGAAAAGAATTGGTTTGACAGGGGAGTTAAAGAAGCTATTTTTGTAAAAGACAATCCATCTTTGAATGGACCCAGACACCATCTATCTTCTATTTACAACTCAATCCTCAAACCTAAATCAAAACAAACAAAGAAAACAGTAGGTGTAGCCAGGTCAGGTCCAGAGGTGTGAAAGCTCCATTATGGCCCTGAATTGTTATGCTAATATGGCACCACACTCAGTGCAGCTCAATAGGCCTCGTTAAAAAAACAGAAACTGTAAACAAGTGTGTGTGTTAGTTTCAGAGTAGTTTCACTGTAGTTAGCTCCTCCCTTCAGGCAGATATAAGGAAGTGTCCAGCAGCATTTTGGCCCGAACTGAAGAAGCAGCTTGGATGAGCTGAGAAACGTCTTCAACCAAATAAACTTTTGTTCAGTCGACAAACTGAATTTCTCCTTTGCCATAGGTTCTACCTGGACGACTGAGGGATTTTTCACTAAATATGCAGAGTTCGTGTGTTAAACATGTGTGAATGAAACAAAACACAACACCAGGTCTGTTTATGATGAGGACACAACATTATAACAGATCAGAAAATAGTGTAATATGGACCTTTAAGATCTTGACCAAATGTTGTGTGTATATTTAAAGATTAAATATTAAAGGCTAGGAAATGCATAAATTAAACCACCATAACATTACTAATTAATAACAGGGATGTAACAATAACCAAAATATCGTGATATTGTATCGTCAAAAGTCTCCTCTCTCCAATAATATCATGGGCTGTCACAATATATTGAATTACAAGTTCCTTTGCTTAAATTCGTGGTTTTACAGTAGCAACTAGGGGTGTAACGATATCCAAGTCTCACGGTACGATATTTATTGTGATATCATGGGAAAGCTCATGATATCCAAATCTCTTACGATATTTACACAATATTTTCTCGATTTACATCTCTCGGTATGATTTTTATTGCGATATTTTGTGGAGGCTGTGAACAAAACTGTTATAATATGCTACTCTTTCCTCTTAAAATGCCTTGACAAGACTTAATCCAAAGAACTAAGACTTAAAACTGTTAGAATTGTTATTTCCTCTTGTAGTCTGCACTGAAATATAGCAAAGGATCATGGTCTATGTAGTTCCCTCTGTCTTTTTTTTTTTTTTTAGCTATTGCTGCACCTTAACTCTTAATTTAACCAAAGAGACTTGGAATTCGATATATTGTGATGATCCACGATATTATTGTGAGAACTCTGACAATACGATATCACGATATTTTGGTGAATGTTACATCCCTAGTAGCAATAGTATATAAACATCGGGAACTACATATCCCATGATTCATTTCAGCGCAAACAACATGAAGTTATATGTTTTTACTTGAATTCTTGGGATTATGACGGAAATATTTCACACCAAAATCTTGTCAAGGTATTTCAAAAGCAAAAAAGTGTCCTGTCTACAAATATATCAGCCTCTTCAAAGTATCGCAATAAATATCTTACCGAGAAAGGCATATCGTGATAATTTCGATAATAACACTGGCTAAATAAAGTAAGCAAAAAAGACAGCAAGAGACTCGTGTCAAATAAGACATAATTATATAAATGCATGTGTACAAATCAAAATAAAATATAAAATCTCAGCTTTACACAAGAGGTCATTGCGGATGTGTGCATGGCTGATGTTTCCTGTAAAGTTTGCCCACGTAACCACAGTAACAGCCGCACCATGTGACTGCTACAGTGCACTACTTCAATCAAGTGAACTGACCCGTGCTCTGGACGAGGGGCCCTCAATTATCGGACGACAAAAGCGCCAAGGAACACAGAGGATTTGCTGTTTGAAGGGTTCATATTACGCTATTTTCGGATCAGTGTTATAATGTGGTTTTCTCAGCACAAACAGACCTGGAGTTGTGTTTTGTTTCATTCACACATTCTTCGGAAAACACTGTATTCCACTTTGCAATGTCACGTGGTGATACAGGAGGTTTTTCGCTGTGTTTTAAAAAGCGACACACCTTCACTGCCGTTCTTTTAATCTCTTAATGACACCACAATGACACAATAACCCGATATGTTTGAAGGAGGACTTGAAACTTCACATCGTGGCATCATTAAAATAAAAATGTGGGAGCTCCAAAGAAATTGGAATTGACGATCTCTGCTAAACAAAAGTTAAAATCTGTCTTGAAAAGTATAATTTCATAACATCACAAGGTGGAACAGAGCGTTTTGAGCTTTAGAAATGTAGACAGACTAATAATAAAAGGTTACTCAAACATGTGTGAATGAAACAAAACACAACTCCTAGTCAGTTTTTGAGGAGGTAACAGTATTCTAACATGACTTAAAGCTCACAAGAGTCAATTTTGTGTAAGATAAGCTCTATTCATACTTACGTCTAGTGGCGGAGTTAGGAATTGAGGGGCCCTAGGAAAACTTTTAGACTTTTTGGGGGCCCTCACTATAATGCACCGTTTTTTTTTTTTTTTTTTG